TTTAGAAAATCGATAAAGATATTCGTTTGTTCGGTAACTGATAGGTCTTCTTGGTGTGTGCGCTATGTCCCTAACTTAAACCGAACTCTCGATGAGGAAGGGGCTCAAAATAAGCTCAAAAAGTGGTTCCTCCTTTCATCCGTCTTTCCTCTCATTCACTCTATTCCTAATTCTTCAATAATTCCCTGATCCCGCGGATCTGTTGCTTTTCTCACTCAGCAAATGCTGTTTTCACCCGTTAACTTCAGAAAGAGCATTAGTTCAACGATGTGTAAAATAGCCAAGAGCACCAACCATATAAAGCGCATAAAATAATAACAGAATAAGAGGAAAACAAAAGAGCTAATGCAAGAATGTGTTGAGTTTCATTTTCTTCTTTCTTTAAGCTCTCCTGCACAGAAACGAAGTGGCAATATGCGTTAAAGATAATATGAATAATTACCCAAAATTTCGTTGCTTAAAGTCATTTTATTGATTTGCTAAGTAGAATACAAGAACAAAGCTAATAAGATCGGTCGAATTTTTCACTAATCATTACTTGATAGACCAAAGCGAAAAGCACCGTAGGCACTATTGAAGGGTGTACAAGGAACAATGTGTGCAATACGGACTTACTTGATCTAATGGGTTGCTGCATGCCTTTCTAAAGTTTACACTATCCTGGATATTTTATACATGTCCTGCGTTCGCTGTAACCCTGATAGGCATAACATAAGTCCTGGGAGTCCATGTTTGGTTACTGGATGAACAATTCACTTAATCTAAATTGTACACCTCCAGGCCACCCCCAGCAGTATTAAGAATAAATGGAAACACGCTGCCCTTAACATATTTATAGAAAAAAAGATAAAAAGCCGCGGTGAATTTAACGATTGGTTTAACTTCAAACACCAGTTGTCATGAAAGTAAATAGCAAAAAATTTTATAATGAGTTTGAAATCATCTCACATTTATTTATTTTCCGATTTAAAGTATAACTAATTTCTTCGAATTTGACGCCTAATTTGTAAAAAAATCCTTGCCTGTCTATTAAAATTTACTCTTAAAACCTTGAATTAAATTTTGCAATTATTTGATAGCACTTCAGGATTACTGAATTTAGGCAAATATATTTCTCTAATATGACTCACCTGGCATTTTTTGTTACTGTGAAATTGTTGACCTCGTCAATGAGAGTATTCACCATGCAAGTTATCTTCTCATAGGGAATCTGAACACCCAGATCATTTTGGGACTGCTCATCTAGCCTTTCCCCCACGGGAAAGGCTCTAACAGTTAACCACGAGATCCCCTCATCTGTAGTCCTGTTAACGTGAAAAGGAGGCTGTGGAATTGACCTATAATCCTCACCTCGGAACCAAGCTGCAATTTGCATAGGTCGATGAGCGGTTTGTGTTTGTTTGCGATGATTAAAGAGGCAGACAAGTCGAGCTGGATAACCTTCAATCAGACGTGGCTGTGTGTCGTCCATGCTAGACATTCCGTCTTGATATTGAGCAGAGTAGTCATCTCCGAATGGTCTTGAAGATTCCAGATCATTGATAAGGGGTTCGGATGAAGAATTGTGCAGTTTAACTTTGACGTTAATTGGGTCGTACAGCGACCAGTGAATTTCATAGTAGGATGGGTGACCTTTCTAAAAATTCATTAGAACTAAATAGGTGTATCATGCAATGTTTTAATCTAGTTTAAGACCAAAATTTATGAATTTTCATCAATTGGACCAGTTTTCACTATCTCTAGTATATTTATAAATTTCAATAGCACTAGAGTACAGTAAAGAGCAAAACATGGAGAGAACCAAGTGATTGTCTATTCATCATCTAGATAAGAGCTAAAAGGTGTATGAATAGCTGGTTAGTGTAGTGGCACTTAATAATGTTCACTCCAAGTGTAATACAGGTATTACGAAAAGTGATGATTACCAGTTAGAGCAATCATCATTCTGTGAGCAAATTGGCCAACAAAAGATCATAGTATTTCAAAGAGAAATTAGTTTCTATTGGTGAGTCGAATACTTGAGTTAATGCAAAAGACTCTATTGGTTTCTTATTCCTTGAATCGACTTTGCGCGTTTTAGCACTATCATTGAACTCATTGAAAGTATATTTAAGACCCCATGTAAGAAATTACAAACTTAAACTATCCTCCCGTGTAGGAGAGCTGAGGGGTTTGAATGAAGCGTTCGCCGACCTATCCCTATCAATTTTGACGCTCGTATGCGTGACGCTGTGGCACATTTATCTTCCAGCCGTTGTCCACGATGACGTCATTCCTTCGAATTCTCGACTGTCCACTTATACTCAAGCAGTATTTGTCTTCTCAAGTTAAAGACTTCATACACAAGTGCACTGATACCACAACCAGATTCTTTATATACTTTCATACGCTTTCTCTGACCATACCCTTTCCCTTTGGTCTACCAGCTTCTCGCTACTAATAAATCTACCATTTTCAGCTGTCTTCTCCCCTGTCCTAAATGAAAATTGGTAGAAAATAAAAGATTTAGCCTGAAGGATAACTGTTGGAAGTCAGATACTTTGCTTATAACCTTAACCTCTGGAAACCCATATCAGACAAACAAAACCAATTGCTAAAAACGGGAAGAGTTTTGTGTGTTCATCGTCATCAGTAACAAAACATTTTAATTTTGATTATTCCAAATAGTGCAATCTAAATAGAACTTCATTAAACCATATCATATTAGATAAGTTAAGTAACCCTAACGAGTATAAAGCCAATTAGAAATATAAAAGATGGAAATAGGCACTAAGGAACAAAGGGAGTGGGAGACCAATTGCATTATGTCCACCTACTCCAACAAGAGCAGTATCAATCAACTACCATGTTGTCTGATCTAGGCAATATCCACACTGAGGTAAAAGTTCAATTTCCTCATTGGTAAATTCTACACGCCAGCGCGTGCTTCATTTTCGCTATGCAAAGTTGCGTCTATTTCAAGCATGCTTGTGGATTCTATTTATGAGAAGTGGGTCAAAGCAAACGTACACCGTTGTAAACATAAGCTCGCAAGAGCAGCAATTATAACTGACTTGTCTAAAAGCCCGATTTCCTATCTAGGGAGTGCACCCTCAACCACATATCGGAACACAACGGTCTTCATGACAAAGTGACACTATAAGCAGTTTAATCGACGAAAAATAAGTTGCTTAAATAAGAGGTATTTGATCACAACTTCCATTTTACAGCACACCTCCTTGCCCCAATTGTATTCATGACATAGCCTTGATATGAAAATAGAAGTTAACAGAATTACCAACTTGCGGAAGCCAGCTCATTAACGGATTATGAGGGATATTAAAATAAAAGCCCTAATGTAGACGTTTTAAAGGTAAAACAACAGAAGGACAGAAATAGGGCCATAACTTAAGACATACAAATGCCAATTTAATCCTTTGCATTATTCACTCTTAGGATAGAACAGAAACACTTCCAAAAGTCACAATGCTGCCTCATTTTCTGCCAAATTTCAGTGGATGGAAATTTATTTACACATTTACTGTAAGCAATGGAACACACCCTTCTCATAGGTACTTATGCTTGAGCCACAAATGAATAATTGAAGACAACGACGAACAAATACACCTAACCTAAGCAAGACCCTTTAAATGTCAATAATTTTGTAAACAGTAATAATAATAATAATAATAATAATAATAATAATAATGGTAATACTTAAGTCAACACAGGACCTTGTTTTCCAACGCTCATTTTGGTAGGGGAATAACATTGTCCAGCCTTACGAGGAGAGACTTTGTTCCTATCACCTTCCTTACAGCTAGTGAGATTTTTCGTCCGCTGAGTGTGCAATGACAATACTCGAACCCGTAGCCTCTGACTGTACCATTGACATATACATTTTAGATATCATTAATTAAGAACTATGGCACAAATTTATTTTGCATGTATTAATCGATCGGATAATAATGCTTTCATTACTAACCTCTCTCAAATAATAAATCAAACACAAAGTAAAGAAGATACTTCTGAACAACCTTTCATATTTACTCTTTCTATGTAAATGATGAAGTTAAACGGGAAAGGGATTTTTCAATATTAGGCAAAAATTAATAATAAAATCCTTCTTGAGTCTAGTAATTAGTAACAAATAATTTTCATTGCGTAATAAATAATACAATATCATCCAGTATTATACTATATATATATATATATATATATATATATATGCCTAGGATTTATTGGAAAATTAATAAAAATGTGCAACTTTGAGCATCATGACTTCATGGAACATTAGAGTTAACAACTAGAGAAACTACAGTTTCTTCTGCCCACTTCCGGGAAATCTTATTGGTCCTTGCTAACTATCCCAAGTAGCCTCTTCGGTTCTTCTACTTTGAGTATCCATATGAATTTCGGTCGCCCACAAGAGCATTCTGCTAGATGCCGCCTTTAAATCGATCGTAAGGCCTCCCATTCAATCAGACATCCACACATTTGCAGTGTCGCAGTATTGTGCTAATAATTACTAAGCATTCCACATAGCTCACTCCTTTTCATGCTACATGTCTTATTACTTCTTTTGTGCAAGTTTGATTGGTCGCTGAGGATAATTCACCTTAGAGGAATCTCCAGCGGCTTGTCACCTCAATCGGGAGACATGTGAACTTCTAAGGTAATAAATAAGGCCTAGTCAGGGGTCTGTTTGGGAAACATCCTCCACACCGCTAAATTCACTGAAAAAACTCATTGGAAAGAGCTCAAAATTAAAAATCATCTTTGACCTTTTTCTAAAATTTAAGCATCTTTAGTTTGCATCACATCGTTAAGCATATGTTAACAATAGGCAATAAAATTACCCCTATGGAAAATCTGTTCATTTATCTAAACTCGTGCAATTGTATTCACGTTGCACGCTCATGTGAAAGTGCCAATTTGTACAATAACAGCGTTTCAAATTGTTCACACCTCATAATAGGATTCTAGTGCAACTTCAAGATTAGTTAAACTTTTAGGTGGCCTCAAATCGACTTGAAGAAGGAAATTAATTGAGAAATAATTTCAGATTTGATATGTAAAAATTTAGAATTTACGCATTCTCAAGTAGCTTTTGATCTAACTGCGCATTTTATCATGGTTTTGGACAAAACAATAGAAGGTAGACTACTGTTTTAAATGACAATGTTTTAGTAACAGTAGTAGTGGAAGTTAATTCATTACAAAATGATTTTTTTTCATTAATAATCAAAGTGCCAAGAAAAAGTCAAAATGTGGCTCGTAGGTCTTATAAAACAAACCCCTCCTTAGCTTACTGCATACCAATTACAAATAAATGGTATTTGTAATATTGTGAAATCTGAACACAGTCCACATAAAAGCCCAAACAAATTGACATTATCCTTTGTTTGATACATAAATCAAAAGATAGCGATAAGCGACGATACTGCGCAATCGCAAGTTATTATATCTTCCAGTTATATAAAGAAAAGTGATAATGAAAATAAGGGTCAAGTTCGTTCAAACATCCAACTGATCTGATGATTCTGGTTTTCATATCTAAAACGATACTACTAATTTCTTGATTATTAAACCCGTACACAAATATTCAAAGTAAACAATGTAATGAGTTTCATATTTCATTATCAGAACTAAATAAGCAGAAATGCTTTTCGCAAAAACTAACCTTTCCATGCCAGAGATCCTCCATTTCAAATTTGCACCAAAGAGGAGTGGGTGCTTCAGGGGCTTTCGGATCTAATATCCGAACATACTCAAGATTGGGACCAATTTCTACATTTCCATGTGAAAATACACCGGATTCATTATAGGATACCGTTCTACTGGGACGGGCTTCTTTCGGAAGTACAGCCGCTAATTCCGAATTCGGTGGAATTGGTTCCCTCCATTCCCAAGAAAGAACCCTTTGAACAGCCGTCAAAGGACACCGCAGTATAATCTAAAACCACAAAAATTAGTATATTTAAAACCAAATGCCTGGTCTAATTGATCCGATGGAAACATTCTGAAGAATTTTATCATTGCAGCAGCTAGAGGAACTGTAGGAAGACCACTCGACCGATTAACGACGAAATGTTCTGGAGGATGAACACTGAGATAGACGTCCATATAATTAACTTCACCGTGACATCTATAAATTCCACTATCTGTAAGGCTTGCATTATCGATTCGCAAAATTAGACGTCCACGATCATCCAGCATTGAGTATACGGTGGTAGTGATGATATGCCTTCCTGATGCCAAGTAGTTAGTTGGCGAACTATAAAGCATATTTGTTTCTTTTTTAAAATTCATTGGAGCAGGATGATTTCCAATTTCTCGACCTCTATTGATACTGCTTTCGTGCGTCCATTTAATGCCACCATTGCAGACGAAATATGTGTCATGGCCAACTATGGCTGACACATTTGGAGCGGATTCAAGAAACACATATCTTTTTGGAATTTGTGCTTTAACTCCAAATACGAATAATGAGCATGTTAAAAACGCCAGTAGGAAAGCATTAATATTAAAATCCATTAGGATAAATGTACAACCTGAACAATCCAAAATAACGGTAGCTTTTAATGCATGCATTTTAATAAACTTAAACACCATGTACAGGGGCATAAACTAAATATTTATTGCACAGTTTGTTTCAAAATAATTTGAATTTATCAACACAAATTGTATATTTAAAGTTAATTGAAAGAAAGCTAATTATTGTATGGATTTGCGTCAAAATTTTAATTTATTATATATAATGTACCCTCGAAACCATTTAGCTTTCTTACATTTCTGAATTAAAGGCTAGAAAATGGAGAATCCCGTGTTGGACCTTAATTTTTCCAAAATGTTTATTTGTACATCATGTCATTTATTAATAATTAATAAGTTTACTCATTGTTTATAGATAATGATAAATAATTCTGCTTGACAACATATTAATACATAAAGCATATTTTGCTCAAACGTTTTCCGTGCTATGGCCATTCATTCCCAGGTAAACATTGCTTTGTTATAGAACTTTTAGACGATTTTGATATTAATGATTCATTTGAAGAACTAATGTTTCTTGATTTATTTATAATTAACTCTTTTTCAAGAATATCCACAAGGCTTAATTATGTGATTTAACGGATGACTTTCAATAAATGAAATAAATATTATAAACTCACAAATATAATAGTTATCGATTTTCAACCAATCGTAATTTTAGCACAAATTTTATCATCCGGAAACTTCCTTAATCTTACAATTTTCTGGCAACGTGCATGCAACGCTATCATAAATATGACTATGAAAGCTTTAGATAGATTTGTGAAACAGGTTGCGGCCGTTTATAAAATATAAATTCTGGCTGACCGCGACTAGACATGTCCAAATTTTAATTACATTTTACCAATTATCGCCAACCACACAAATGAAGCTTGACTAAATCTCAACGACCTTCTCAGACATATTCTCATTCATAAAATTGGTCTGGAAGTAGGGCAAGCTACCTCAACAGTGTGGGGGAAAACAGAACGTATGGCGCGAATACAATTTACTGCTCCTCATGACCACTGACACAAAGCAAAGTCACTGTAATGCAATTAGCCCCACGTTACTTTACAGTGACTGATAACTTGTTGGTTGAGAGGTCTCTCACTCACTTATGCTATTACCAGAAAAACCGCACCTTCAAGACTGCTAGAATGTGCATGGCATTCCTCTGTTTAGTCTTGATACTGTTGCAAGCTCCACATGCTTAGTTGAGTCAACAAGCAGAACAATTTTGAAATTTCAGTCTACTTAGATCTTAATGAGAAATTTCATTATTAACTTCTTGTGGGCCAACAAATATACTTATTTCTTCCTATGGCATATAATTTACTGTCAATGAAAGTTTCATTCAAGTAATTCAATTTTTTCCAACATTATGTTACGAAGCTATTTCGAATAAACGGGATTCAAAGCAGCGATAATTGAATTAGTAGATAATAAATATTATCAAACAGAAAGATGCCAAATTTCATAGGCATTGGCTAAAAATCTAATAGTCACCTGTAAGCTATGAGGCAATTTCTGCTTTTGGTTACATGACTGAATAGTAGAACTCTCATTGCATGCGATAAAAGCTATGCTATAAGCTCATCCAATTTGTAGGCGGGCAACAATTTAATTCCCAGGCAATAACACTGCAAAAAAGTATGTTCGTGCCAACTCAAATATCAAGATATGTCCGTATTTCACAATATTTATCTCATTTTAAATGGTAGGCGTTTTGACAGCTATAATTTGCCATTTAGCTGACTTCGGGCTTCACAGAGGGAAGATTAATCAAAGTAGCAGAAGGTCGAGGGGTGGGGAACAGAAGAGCGATTCACAGATGTAATAGAGGCAGATAGACACAAAGGTAGAGAAAAAGGTAAGATGAGTATTGTGGAAGGGGTCGAATATGACAATCAGTCGGTCCATGGTAGTTTGAAGTCAGAAGTCAACTGCCGGTTAATAGACTTTTTTGCCGTATGAGTATACGTTGCCCAGGGTGCATCAAGTCGAGGTAAGTTTATCCCACACCCCTATTTCTCAATATTTGGTTGTTTGAGCTGTGTGCCTCTTACGTGAGGAACGAAAAGAAATTGGTTCGGATTAAAGAAGCATAAGAGAAGCCAAATATATTTAAAAATTTAATAAAAGATTTATTTTTTCTAGAAATTACCTTTCATTTCTAGATA